ATATAGCTGTGAATGCCGAACGATTCCTTTACAAATGGAGACTTGAGTCAAAATAAATGTGGTTCTACAGTAGGATGCTGAGAATAATATGAAATGAAAATTTGAGCAATGAGAACATTTTAAGGAAGATTGGAACTAAAAGAAAACTCTTATTGTAATTAGAAAGATAATTAATATTCCTGAAACACATAATAATGAGCAATAAGGGTACTAGAGAATTAAACACTCACAGGTCATACTGAACGAAAAAAAGGAGGAGGTAATCGCCAAATCTCCAATCTAACTAGTTCGTGTGGATAGCTTACAGAGAGGGGACAAAGAGCATTGTAAAATGTCAAAAGTTGCTTACAAGTGGACAAAGTTGTGGAGGACTATGGTCACAGACATCCTGAAGGAACGCGTTAACACAAAAAGTGAAGAAAAACGGTTCCAGTTCCTCGATGCAAGAAAGCGTCTAATATTCCCATGGAATGGAAACGATTGGTTTTGTCTATCATCGCTTTCATTGCAAATACGCAAATAGTATTTTTGTTTCTATTTTCCGTAAAACTATCTCCATCTGTCTATATTCTGAGATGAAGTAACTATTTACACTATTTACATTGTTCGGACTTTTGTCATCATCTTTATTATTTTATTCACGACGTTTCAGCCGTTGTACGATACGGTTTTCTTCAGGTGATATACGTCAGAATTTTGAACCGAACTCTTTATTTAGTCCACTGGGTGAGAATGTTCTCGTTCCACATGCCATACCTTTTCTGGATATCCCAGTTTCAGTTATTTCCCTTTAGTAACTCAATTCTCCAAGTTTTTGTGCACCACAGTAATACTCTTGAAGAAACAATTCCTTGCGTCAAGTCACTGCATTACTTCAACCAATGCTTTTATCCACTGGGTCATGTGTATATCAACTGAAGAAGGCCGGAGTTTACAACGGCCGAAACGTCATGAATATGACAATAAAGATGAGGACAGCAGTAAAAAAAATGTAAACAGTTTAAATCTGATTTTCTCATATCTTATGTCAATGGGGTTATCAGCATTGTGCTGTTGAAGAAGATTTCAGTCGTCAGAAGTCTATTTCTTCATCTGTGAGAATATTGTCCAATATTCACTACTATATAGAAATCTTGATGTTACATAACAGTTCTGTACTCTAGTCGTTGTTTCTTGCAAAGTTTTCATGTTTCTTTCTTAGCTTTTGGAATTAATATTTTTCTATTCCGATGCATCTACGGATGTCAGTGTCATATTTTCCGGTGATTGTTACAACACTTCCCAGATATTTATATTTCCGAATATGCGCCCTACAAGCAAGGCGCTATTAGCCTTCTGGCTGGCCGCCTATGCAAACTGCCAGCGGTCCATGGTGGCGGCCACCGGCGGGTAACTGGTTGGTTTCAGTGGTAAAATTGCCGAGACGAACATGCAGGCTGTCCAACAGTGGACCACTAGCGGTAAACGCCAGTTTCATGCCACCATGTGGCAGATTGGAGGCTTACGTATAGGGAACATCTCCAGTTCATAATTCGCATCTTGGGATGTTCCTCTTTGATTGAAGGATTCATATTCTAGGGATTATCAAACCTTTGCAGGTTACTTAAAGCCATGATTTTCGTTTAGACTGTAATCATTTTTTGTGTGTGGTGGTGGGGATAATAACTGTCTAGTTATAGAAGTTTTACTTTTTAACCCTTACTTTGGGAGAAGATGTTGATTAATACCTTTCTCAAGTGAATGTTACGAAACCAACGGGAATTGAAACTCTGCTCTCTGATTAACAATTCCGAGCTATTATCCCTGACACCACCCGCACACCCAAGCTTACAACAACTGGAATTTGCATATACGATCCTGCTGTTTTAAGTCATAGCAAGTGGGCGAGAAGAGATGGATCTATACATTTGCCTAGAGTATTTGCCTGTAAGCGAATGTAACGATTCCGACTGGAATTAGAACTCGCCTCTCAGATTTCTTATTCCGAGCCGATATTCAGTAAACCAAACGCACATTTCAATTTACTTCTAAATTCATGAATTTAAAAAAAATGTTTACAATGCCATAATGTCTCCCAAAATTGGTATGTTTTAATAAAAAAAAAATACTGTTTTCCATTTTTTTTAGGTAATGCTTAAGTCAATCTCAATTTTTTTTTTTTAATCCTATTTTGAAGTACGGTTTTGACTTAATACTTTGACGCACATTTCATTAACTTTGCCTCACACACTCCCACACTTAGCAATTGTAATAAATCTTTTATGTATTCGAACGCTTCTTCATCTTTTATGTTCCGTGTCCATTTAAGACTTAGGCGATCACGGCTCTCCACGTTCTCCCATCCCTTATAACTTTTACCTTTTTGTTATTTCTCACAAACCCTGTTCTGTCATCCATTTGATCAGGTTCATCCAGAATGTTACTCAATGCCTTCCCCTGCCCTTCTTTCCCGCCATCAGATCCTTGAGTATCAGATTTTCCAAACCTTCTTTCCTCATTACGTGCCCCTGAACCCTCATCGATCTCTTCCTCATGTTGAGTATAAGTTTACCTTTTCTTTCTCTTCTTAACTATGTTTAAAATATTCCATATAATTCCACGATAACGGAACAAAGACATTCTTCAAAAAAAGTGAATTTTTCGTATGCGACCAGTTGGCCAATTTATCAAATATATTAGTATCTTGTGTGTCAAGACTTAGCGGCTTTATTTTTTGCAAGCCTGATGCAAATTAAATATAGAATTTAAAACCACAATTTGAAGAAAATTTTAAAATAAACTATAAAGGAATATTTTTTTTAAATGAATGAATCTCATCTCTTAGGTTCAGCCATTTTCTGTTTTTAGCGAAAAATTCTAATGGCGAAGGTATCAATCTCATTATCATTAATCTGCGGAAGTTAAGAATATATTTTGAATAAACTAATCTGCGACAATATTAGATGCAAGAGGTGGTGAATTGACATGGATAAATGTCTAAAACCAACACCATATCAAGCGCCATGGAATAAATATATATATATATATATATAATTAATAATAATTAATAATTATCGCAATCGAATTAAGTCAACACCCCATGAAAGACCATTACCTGTAGAACAACATTTCTGCCTACAAAAACAAGATTTTAAAACCCATGCCAAATTCACTACAATTGAGAAAATAGAAAAGTTCAGAGCAAATAATATTAGAAAGATTTGACAGAATAAGCGGAATCGGCACCTAAAGACACTAATCCAGACGAGCTTAATCGCAAATTTAACACTATAGAATTAATATATAACCCCACAAATCAGAACCTACCAACATTTCTCACCCACACAAGACAGACGTGCTTGCAGAGGTGTTGAGGCCTCACATTTATACACACACACGCGAATATACACAATTACACACATCATACTCACTCACTCCTTAAGAGAGACACATCCCCTTTCGAGGAACCAATAAAACTCTCAAAATGACCAAAGGAATTCAGAGCAGCATGAACCCATTCAGCTCTTACCTTAAGTAACAACATAAGAAGGTTTTTTGACCAACACAAGGCCTGCCCAAAATTCATGTTAAAAAAAAATGAAAAACAAATGAAACTACAGACTAAAACTCATTTTCTCCATCAAGACATTCATTTCTGTAGTTCACTGCTACTAACAAGTAGAATTTTCCTCCCGATGATGGCCATGTTGGCCGAAACTATTCGAGGATTCTAATTGAAATAATAATAAAAACGAAAGAATATTAATATAAGACCCAGTGTGTCTGAAGATTTTAATCTTTTAATAATTTTATTGTTCAAAACACACACACACATATATATATATACACACACACACAAGCACACACACACACACACACACACACACACATATATATATATATATATATTTGATGGGGTAAGATAGTTGAAAACTTATCTCATTAAAATTTGAGTAATTTTAATCAAAAGGTATCATCAGAGGCAATATATCATTCCAAGTAATGGCTTAGTGAATACACTGTAACTTTATATTTTTAAGAATGAAATTGATAAACAAAAGCGGGCCTTGTTTATTTGACTCAAACTAAGAACATTTAACAGATGAACCACCATTTTCAATCAAACCTAATAGCCTTTTCGGATTATTTTGAATAGCATTTTGGTACATTTTCTTGTTTTTCATCCTGTCTCTTTAATTAAATTCCTTAAATCCTGAATTCTTTCAAGTCTTCTTTTCCTCGCTACATTCATAATATTGCCTCTAAAAAAATTAAAATGTTTAAAGCGATACCAGATGTCGTTGCTATAGAAATAACATATTTGTATCTCCCAAATCATCATCCGCTTAAGAATAGCAGGTGTTGTAAGCTTGGGACGTGCGGGGCCGGCAACAGATAACGGCTCGGAATTGCTAATCTGTGAGCAGAATTCAAATACTTTAGGGAAAGGTATGAATCCACCTCTCCCATTCCAGCTATAGGTTAATTAGCAAGTTTTGTCTCACTAATGCATAATTATCTCAAAAAACTAAATTCTTATTTACATTATTCGGACTATTGTCCTCATCTGTGTTGCCATATTTATCACAATGTTTCGGCCATTGTATACTCCGGCCTTCTTCAGGTACTACTCTACTGTACTGATGCGGCATTCACCCTGGGCGGATTGAGCCGGCTTCTTCCTGTTATGAGAAGAATATTCTTGGGATAAATTACAGAAGTAGGGTACCCAGGCCTACTCGGATAACGTTCTTGCTTGCCGTGGGATTCCCACAGACGCAGAGACAGGAACGACCAGAAGCCGCCGGTTACTGATGCAGACGCTCCTTGGATTTTCACCAGAGCCCTTGTTAGCCGGCGTGTGTGTCAGACCTGTCCGCCTTGGTGGCCCTACCAGGAACGAAGTTCCGGGCGGCATAGCTCTGACACTACCGTTTACACCCCCCCACCAACTGTGAGGTAAGGGTTGGACTTTGGGGGCTTACAGTACCAGGTGTTCCCAAGCGGTCCCCCATCTAAGTACGGTCAAATCACGCTGAAACACCGGTTCTCGTACGATCACCGAAGTTAAGCAGCGTAGAGCCAGGTCAGTACTTAGATGGGGACCGCCTCTTCAGGTAGTTGGAATGTCGAACTGTATTCCAACCTGTCACTTTAATTAAATTCCTTAAATCCTGAATTCGTTCAAGTCTGCTATTCCTCGCTACATTCGTAATATTGCCTCTAAAAAAAATAAAATGTTTAAGGCGATACCTGCGGTAAAATGTTCTAGTTCCACGTGTCATGTCAAACGAATGTGAGTTATCAGTTATCTCTTGGTAATTCAACTCTCCGAGTTCTCCACTGACTTAACCAGGTATTGAACTCACAACTCTTTGGGTCCTGTCACTGGATCTAACCAACGCCTTTATCCACTATGCAAATTGTCCGTGATAAATATGGCAACAAACATTAGGACAATAATCCGAATAATGTAATTAGTTACATAATACCTCATCTCAGAAATGTACAGAAACAAAATTCTTATAGTCTAAAAATATTTTCTGGCTTTAAATAACCTGCAAAGGGTTGATAAACCGTAGAAAACGAATCAATCGACTGAATATTTTTGCAATATGACATATAGAGATTCTTGATAAAATCCAAAGAAAGATATGTAATGTAATCTTCCCTGCCTAGGCATTTCGTCTTCAACCACGTTCTCGCCGACATTACATGTCTTCCCTCTCTCTTTTGGACAAATATTTTCATGGCAACTGCTCTGACGAGCTTTTTCCCCTGGTGCTTGGAATACGTAAATTTAAGCATGCTACTAGACTGGGAACTATCTTCAATTCTTTTTTCTGTTGAAATAGCTAAATGCAACCGTCAATTCTACTCAAACAGTTTAATTCTTCGTACTTCCCGCCTTCAGAACTCTCGCCAGTTTCCTTGCTTCTCTGATAAGTACAATCTTCAATGCCATCTCACGCGCCATCTTCTTGAACTTCGTTCATCTTTTGTGCTTTCCTCAATCCTCGTTATTCTCAGTCTTCCCTTTCAATTACATTCGCTGTAGCTGACTGCGTACTAGTGGCATTCTCGCCTTCCTTGAGGGGAAATGTTTTAAAAAGTTATCATTTCGCTAATTTTCTGTCTAAGAACTCTAGTGTGCACTTCCATAGTTCCATTGAAAGATCGTTGAAAATCTCAACAGAATGCACTGGACTGCCGTTTCGCCCTACATTTGGGGCTCGTCAGTAGTGCGCATCGACTACCGAGAATTGAAACCCAGACAGTTACATTGACAGGCAAACGTCATACCAACTATACTAACAGGCCTAAGTTTTCTTTACCCATAGGATTGTGCCCTCTAAAGCCACGAATAACATCCAGATAATTAGAAGCTGGTTCAGGCAAGGATATACAAATTATAGAAATTAAAGAGGATTTGAGATAATTAAGTAATTCATCGAGTCTAGAAGAAACCTCAACAGAATATAGAAAGCACTGGTAGTCGTGGCTCTAGGAGGCATGACGTTTGCCTGTCAATGTAAATGTCCGGGTTTCAATTCTTGGTAGTGGATGCGCATTGCTGATGAGTCCCAAATACAGGACGAAACGGCCGTCCAGTGCTTTCTGCATTCTGTTGAGGTTTCTTTTAGACTCGATGAATTACTTAATTATAATTCTCTCAAATCCTTCTAAATTCTATCACTTGCATATCCTTACTTGAACCGGCTTTAAATGCTGTGGATTGAGCGGCTTCGTGATAGTAGTTCTGGCTATAGGCGGCACAGTCCGATGTGTTAGGAGAAACTCGGATGAATTCCACCACGGAATATGTGATCGAACGACTCTATATCGAGTCTGATTCGCTACCTCTTCGTCATCGTGGTATGACGTTTGCCTGATAACGTAACTGTCCGGGTTTCAATTCTCGGTAGTGAATGCGCACTGCTAATGAGTCTCAAATATAGGACGAAACGGTCGTCCAGTGCTTTCTGCATTCTGTTGAGGTTTCTTTTAGACTCGATGAGTTACTTAATTATCTCAATTCCTCCTTAATTTCTATCATTTATATATATATATATATATATATATATATATATATATATATATATATATATATATATATATATATATTCTCCAATAAAAGGTCCAAGAGCCACTTACAGTAGTGTGTTACTGAATGAGGCTAGTGTAAAGGAAGGAAATAAGAAGTGCATATTTTGAGGGTATGTAGAATAGATAACGGCTGACACGAGGCCTAAAGTGGTTAAGATTGTAGTGACCTGAGAAGAATCCTCGAAAGTGTCCGTTCCACACGGCAGCGGATCTTCCAAAGAGACTGTCCGAATGAGAAAGCCTTCTTACTAATTGAATACGAAGGGGATCCGACCATGTGTACGTTACGTGACGGGTCTAACTTTAAACGTCTGAACTGGCTGGAACTAATGACTATAGGACATCAACCTATTTCCGATGGAAATAATCGCCGAGTCGCGCAAGTCTGGAGACGATTGGTCATTATTAAAAAGTGTTCTATGGTGGGAAACAATTTATCACCCACATTGACTTGTAGAAGCTTTCGAAATCTGTCAACATTGAAAAGAGAGGATTTAGCAACTCCACCTCAGATAAGACATCAATAGTTCATTTTTTTTTCTCCTTGGAGAGTTGGAGCTAAATATATAAATATATATATAAATGTTCAACTATATTTTGCTTGAAATGCTTCCATAAATAATTTTAAAAAAACAGTCTGTTCTGATTTTGTTCCCTGAATTGTTAACAACCGCATAAAATATTTTCATATTTTAAGAATGTGTTAATATTTGTTTTCCTTGCCACTCCATTTTATTTTCCTTATATCTAATTTCAAATGTGCTACTAACTTTATTCTTAGCCTTTATTTCATATATTTCCTTGGTTGGTTTGACTTGGTTGGTTTGACTTGTTTGATTTATCAACCTCAATGGGCTATTTAATGCCGACAAAATCTTTTATTGCTGGTAATGTTTTTTTCCAAAAATGTATTGCTGGTAATAATTATTTACAAAAATGTATTGCTGGTTATATATTTTTTCTTCAAAAATGTATTGCTGGTAATATATTTTACTTCAGGACTGTATTACTGGTAATAATGTATTGCTGGTAATAATTATTTACAAAAATGTATTGCTAATAATATTTTTCCTTCAAAAATGTATTGCTGGTAATATTTCGTTATTTAAAAATGTATTGCTGGTAATATTTTTTTCTTCAAAAATATATTGTTCAGAATATTTTTTTTCTTCAGAAATGCATTGCTGGTAATATTTCTTTCTTAAAAATGTAACAAAATTCTTATTGTCTAAAAATATTTTATGGCTTTAAATAACCTGCAAAGGGTTGATAAACCGTAGAAAACAAATCAATCGACTGAATATTTTTGCAATATCACATATAGAGATTCTTGATAAAATCCAAAGAAAGATATGTAATGTAATCGACATGTAATCTTGTAATAATGTACAGTGTAACCTGGATATAAGAGAGTTGTCGGGACCGGAGAAGAAGTCTCTTATATTCGGGTTTCTCTTATATCCGGGTTTGGTCTATTTTGTTTAGGTAAGTATAGGCTCTAATTTGGGACCAGAGAAAATCTCTCTTATATCCGAGTTTCTCTTATATCCGGGTCTCTTATATCCGGGTTACACTGTATTGCTGAAAAATTGATTGCTGGTATTAAAATCTATTTTTACATTTTCATAGTGTTTTGACTCCAGTTATGGGTTAACTATTTTCCCATTAAGACCCCTAACAGATGCTACCACCCCGGCTTAGGGTAGTCCTGGGAACACCAGCAATTAAGAGGTGGTTCCACGCTCCTCAAAACCTCCTGATTAGAGGCCTTGCCGTTGAATGTAGTTTATCGCTTTACCCAGGGCAGTATTTCCTTGGGAATAGGATTGGTTTGTTGAATCAACGCAGTATTATAATCTTCGAAAAAGAAAACGAATACATATGGCGACTGGAACAAAGTCATGTGATTGGTTTACGAATGAGTAAATTAAGTCAGAATAATGAGAACTTGTGCGTAACTCTTTCTTCACTACATATCAGTACATCAGATGAAATAAAAAAAAGTCTATAGTAACAATAACGTTTTTCTTATTCTTATAGTCTTTGAAAATCAGTAACCGATTTCGTCTTAGTGAAATGATTCCCTTACTTGAGGTGAAAAGATTATTAAGACCGTGAATGAGTTCTCGTTGTTTTCGAAAAGATGGTGTTCCCAGAAATGCGTACGTACAGATGGCAACGCATCTATAAGGAAGTACGATAAGTAATCTTGAAATGCAGTCCATGTCATTTCGCCGAAGTGTAAACAACTTTGTTTCTCATAGCGTTAAACATGTCGGATTTACTTCCAAAGAAAGTGTATTTCAAAGAGATTTTACTATACTACTTCATTCAATAGAAATCTGCAGCTGAATCACAGAAGTCTTGATGAAAATTACGGCGACCATGCTCTGTCGGAAACAACATGCAGAGATTGGTTTAGACGTTTCAAAGATAATAATTTTGATGTTGATGATAAAACGCTCTGGCACATCCAAAAAGTTTGAAGAAGAATTGGAGACAGTACTTCATGAAGACTCAGGTCAGGCACAAGGTGAAACTCACATAATCATTAGGAGTTGATCACACAACAGTTTCGAAACTTTTGAAAGCATTAGGAATGATTCAAAAGCAAGGTCTTTGGGTGCCGTACGAGTTGAAGACGAGAAAAGCCGAACAGCTTCTTGTCACATGTGACCAGCTGCTTCAACGTCAGAAAAGGAAAGTTTTTGCATCGTATCGTGACCAATGAAAAGTGGATACACTACGATAACCCGAAGCGTAGAAGATCGTTGGTTAATCCCGGCCATGCGTCAACATTTGCGGAAAAGCCGAATATCCATGATTCGAAGCTTCTGCTCTACATTTTGTGGTATCAGTTGGCGGTAGTTTATTATGAGCTGTGGAAACCAACAGAAACCATTCCTACAACTGATACTTATGAGGCGGACATTGAAGTAAAAACAGCCGCTATACGAACAGAGACACGACAAAGTGATTTTGCAACATGAAAACGTTTAGCCAC